TAATTAACTCATAAAATAAAAAATTTGTTGAAAAACAGATTGCATTACTCTTTAGAATAATTATAGAATTTGTTGGTTATGTTATACTGTCCAGAATATGATGTAAAATCTGTATAAATCTGTACACACATATGTATAAATAAAACATGTTTTATGCATTATAATGTTATTTGCTGGTTTAATAAAATCAAAATAAGAGTATGTGAAGGTTTGGGTATTAAAGGTTCATATACAAACAGCAGCACTTTAACATTTTGTGCAAGTACAAGTACCAGTAATAAAAATGTTACTCAAAAAGTACCTAAGTACCAGTACTAAAATTTGTACTCAAGGAGTACCTAGGTACAAGTACCAATTAACCTAATTGTAAGTACTAATAAGCGCTTAATTACTTTGTTTTATATATGGTCATTGTCATGGTAATGCATTATATTATATTATAGTAAACAGCTCTCTGGACATTTTTTTATTATGTATATTTTTTTTTAGAGAAGATATGGACTTCAGACTTATTGCTGAACAAGTTAGTCATCATCCTCCAATCAGTGCAATATATGCTGAATGTCCAAAATCTGGAATTGAAATGACAATGTCTATGCAGCCTGACATCAAATTTTGGGGTAAATCAGTAGAAGTAAAACCAAAGGGTCACGTTATAATTAAAATACCAAAGTGAGTTGTTAGAATTATAAGATTTTGTATGAAAATCTTGTTTCTGGTTTCTGACAAAAGAATACAGGGATATGGTAGGATTTGGACTATGTACCTTTTGTTTATAAAGCAAGTGCACCATAACCACTATCTAGGGGTCAACTGAATGACACTAAAAAAAGGAGGGTGGAAATTTTTTTAGTGGAAAAATTAAAAACCACAATGATAATACTATTAATTTTAATATTATGCTCTAAAAAACATAACTGTAACTAACGAAAAGTCATCAAGAATAAAGATTAATTTTATTACAAGAAGGTATTTCCAAAAATATTTCAAAAAACAAAAAACAACTAATAGAACTTTTTTTTTTTTTTCATTAATTTTACAGAATACCCTGAAATGATACTAGACATTTTTATGTTGTTGTTCAATTCTGAAAGTCAGCATTTAAGATCCAAATAAAATAACTTTTTGTAATTGAATAATTTAAATTATTAGCACCATTTGTGTTGAGAACTATAGTGTGTTGAGAACGCCATTTGTGTTGAGATCTGTAGTCACTGCTATGAAATTTGACCGCCAGGTTGAACTTTGTGTCAATTTAAAAATGTTAATTAATATGGTTACAAATACTATATACTATTAGTAAACAATCAAGTTTGAAATCAAAATCATGTGCTATCTTATGTTATTAGTGAAAAATAAATTCAGTATTTTATCCATTTTAAATTTTTTTAAAATTAGTAACCGCGGTGAAAAAATGTTAAAAATCCCTGGGAACTATACAAATCATAGGTAGAGAAAAAAATTAAAAAATTGAAAATGGCGACAAGGTTCAGTGTTTGCTGCGTTTGCTTAGAGCATAAAGAAGAAAGATCAAAGAAGTTATTATCAGTTTCTGAACCAATCCTTCAAAAAATAAATACTTTTATTAATTATAAATATGATCCAAACCTAGAAGCATATTCTACTATGATTTGCACTAGTTGTCAAAGAAACCTTTATCTACTTGATGCAGAAAAAAGTACTGCAAGAAGGTCTTGGTTATCAAAAGTATCCAAGGTATCAATGTAATTATAAAAATTTAATTATTATAAAAAAGTTTAATTCTGAGCATTTTTAATGATATAAAATATAATATTTTAATGACAATTTTAAATCAAATTTATTTTGCATAATTCATTACTCACAATGCTCACCGTCACAATGTTCATATATGAACTTGTATTTGATGTTGAATCAAGTTTTTGTTTATTGTTATAGATACACGAAGAATCAGTAGTCAGGCGTGGTGTCAACATAATAGATTTTGTCCAATCAGCACAATCTGAAATTGTCAATGACACGAAAGAGAATTTATGCCATCATTGTTTTGGTATTATTGGTAAAAATCTTTAATTTCAAATCACTTACAAATTTGATTTACTAATTTAAATTAAATAATGATATCTCTAAAGAAATGACAGATTAAACATTGTTTTTTTTTTGTATATTTATTGTTTATATATATTTGTTTTAAATATATATATATATATATATATATATATATATATATATATATATATATATATATATATATATATATACACACTATTTTTTATTGCAAATATTTTTTTAGGTGCTGGAAGACCTCACAATTGCTGTAAAAGTCAGGCAGTTAAAAATCTTACAAATCTAACCTTTGGTATTGGTGCTATACAGGCAAAACAGGTGGCTTCAAATATTATTAAGACTAAAATGGATAACTAAAATTTAATACAAGAAGCAACATTTAATCTATCAACAGGTGGTAACCTAGTTCAGATTACTGTAGGAGTTTCAGGATTAAAATCAGAAAGATCTAAATCTTTAAATATGATGCCTTTTCAGATGCTGCTAACTTTACAGACCATTTTGGAACTTTCCAAAGCAAGTACTCAGGTCTTGGTTTCCAGTCTAAAAAGTTCATTTGGATCAAATTGTATTACTAAAAATGTATTTGGTAAACTAAACAAACTTTATTCGCATGTTGAATCTTTTTATTTTGCAGAACTAGTTGAGTTTAGAGGAAATCAAGGGTCAAAAATTGATTGCAATTTGGTTTATGTTAAGAATACAAGCGATTTTATAATGAATATTATAAATGAAAGGAATCTTGACCCTTTTAAAGCATTTGTGAATATAGCTGTGGATGGAGGTGGTGGTTTCTTGAAGGTTGCTTGTAACGTGTTTGATCCTGATAATCTGCATTCATCTTCTTCAAAGTATCAAGATAGTGGAGTTCAGCGTTTACAGATCTTAGCTATAGTTGAAGACGTTCCTGAATCTAACTGGAATTTAGGATTAATTATATCAAAACTTAAGCTGGAAGAGGTTAAATTTTATATGGCTTTTTATATGACTTTTTATATATATTATTTAATTTTATATGACTTAAAATGTGCCAATGCTGTACTGGGTTTGTCTTCACACTCTGGGAAATGAATGCATGTTTGTATTATTACAGGATTATGTTCTTTGACCTCTGGAGATCTTAGAACGTTTGGAAATCTTGATTACTGGTCTCAGAATTAAAATAATGATGGATGTCCAACAAAAAAAATGTCAAATTATATGAATGTTATTAATAAAAGGTTAATTTATTTAGATGAGGATCCTGAAACATTAATTGTTCATAAGATAGCTCCACCAGAACTGCATTTAATGATAGGTGCAGTTGGAGTTTTAGGCAAAGTATTGCTAATTATATATGATCCTGGATTTAAAACTTGGCTATCTTTACATCATATTATTTTTCGAGGCTACCATGGAGTTGGTTGGGACGGAAAGAATTATAATAAAATACTTAAAAAAATAGATCTTCTTGAACAAGCTGTTATAAAGGAAATCCCAGTACACCAGCATCTGATATTATCCGTAATAAATTGTTTGCAAGCTTTTAAATCAGTAAAAGATGCAGCTTTCGGAAAACATTTAAACCCAGAATATGAAACAATTATCAAAAACTTTGCGGACATTTTTAAGTCTTTGCAAAATGATATTCATGATGCAAAAATAGAGGGATTAGCCTTAAAAACTACATGGAAATACATATTATTGTAAACCACATAATTCCTTTTCTAAAATATCATAATATGGATCTAGGAAATTTTGCAGAACAAGCTGGTGAGACAGTGCATGCTAAGTTCAAACCTACCTGGAAAAGATATAAAGTCAGCACTAAACATAGTAAGCATGGAGAACAATTAAAAAAAGTTGTTGTTGATTTTAACACAAGAAGAATTAAATAATAATTTATGTGTTGTAGTCTTTTTGTTGTGAATTTTAAAAGGGCAGATCCATGATCTCAAATGAGTATTACAAAATACCCCAATTATATTTACCTTGTGAGGGCAATAAGATATATATATTTTTTTATATATATACTGTCTTAAATATTATTTAACTCACCAAAAGATTTCCAATTTAGTTCAAAAAATCTTTTGGAGTTAAGAACTGGTGACTATGTTAACAATGCCCCCTCCCCCCTTGTCTAAATCAAAGGGGTCATTTAGGGATTTTTTCATACTTAGCTCCGGATTTCAATTTTAAACTAAGTTGTTTTTAACTGCTATAAATTAGTAAAGACTAAATCAGTCAGAATTTTTTAATTGACACGCATTTCAACCTGGCAGTCAAATTTCAGTGCAGTGTAGTGTGTGTGAGCTATGTATGTGTATTGTGTTGAGAGCTCAAATTATTCATACCACAAAGTACGATTTAGTAGCTGACCAATTAAAAGGTTTTTCTTTTTTGATATTTTTATAATTTGATATTTACAATTCTAGTTATACTATAAATAAAAATGAATAAAATTTAAAGTTTAAGCTTAGTTTTAATTGGTTAAAAATGCTGATTATCTATATATGTAGGTTTATTTCATTAAATAATTTACATTGGTTAAATTATAATTATTGAATCTTTTAATTTAAACAATCCAACAAATTTTTATTGACTTGATGGTCCAACCTAGAAATAATGATAACTTTTACAAGGATTGTCTTCATTATTTTGTTTAAAAAGAAAGTTTAGAAAGGTTGAGAAATGCTGATTTAGTCTACAATGTTTTTTTAGTTTATATATACTTTCTTTTAGAATTATCAATTATTTAATACCTGAAAAAGTTTATTTTCTTTTCTAATCAACAATCTTTTTTTCATTTTGTTAAAAAAAAGAAAAGAAAAAATATAATAAACTCATCAATTTATTTAGGTATAATGATGTTTATACATTTTCATATGTCTCCAGCGGAATACATAATGTCATAATTGGTAATCTATGGATAGAGATGGTGAGCTTTCTTTGCAAATTTTTCTAGTTAAAGGTCAATATAAATAACTTAATAAAATTTAAAATGTAATTTAGTATGGTGTGTGTGAAATAACAAATCAAAACACTGGAGACAGAGCAATTTTAAATTTTAAACCCGCTGGTTGGTTTGGAAAAGATTTAAACAAGGTGGATGGATACGTTGTTGACAAAAAGTGTGTTTTTTCAAATACTTTTATTTTTTTGCAAAATTAATTGAAACAAAGAAAAATTAATTTAATTAATAAAAGGGTTTTTCAAAATTATTTTTTTTAAAGTTGTAAGTGTTGTAGTAATTACTAATTGTTATTAAGTTTATGTAAGTCTCACTCATTGTCAATAAGTTTATGGATTTTTTACTCATTGTCATTAAATTTCGCTTTTACTCTTAACTTGTTTTAAGAGTGAAAACTAGAAATTGACAAATCTAATTTTTGTTGAATTTTAGAGCAATATGCATATATACTTAAAGTTATGTTAACATTTCAACAAAATTGCAACTATATTATCTATATTATAATAATATAAACTATATTATCTATATATATAATAATTTATTATAAACATTAGCTATATGCTAATTCCTGGTACTTTGGGTAACAGTATATATATATATATATATATATATATATATATATATATATATATATATATACATATACATATACATATATATATATATATATATATATATATATATATATATATATATATATATATATATACATATACATATATATATATATATATATATATATATATATATATATATACATATATATATATATATATATATATATATATATATATATATATATATATATATTACATATATATATATATATATATATATATATATATATATATATATATATATATATATATATATATATATATATATATGTATATATATATGTATACATATACATATATATATATATATACATATATATATATATATATATATATATATATATATATATATATATATATATGTATATATATATATATATATATATGTATATGTATATATATATATACATATACATATACATATACATATACATATATATATATATATATATGTATATATATATATATATATATATATATACATATATATATATGTATGTATATATGTACATACATACTTAAATATATGTATATATACTTATGTATATGTATAATATTTTTAACCATAGTATTTTTAAAATTTAAAACAACATTGATATTAATGGTAATAAATGATATATCTATAAATCTTTTTATTTTGTTTAATAAAAACTTTGTTTCTTTAAGTCTTTCTTTAAGTGAGGAAATTTTTTCTTTTGTTTCTTTAAAATTTGGCTAAATTGATTTACATGTGTAAATATTTTATATTTATAAATATATAAATATAAAATAATATAATATAAATATTAAATTTTGCAGAATTAAATTTTATAATTATAAGTATTGAAATTCAGTTTTGAAATTATGGCCTGATAATAAAATTATGTTAAAAGTTGCTGAATGTTGTTATGAATATTTGCCTGTGGGTATATAATAAATTGTAAAAAAGTAAAAAAACTTTAAAAAATTTCTTTCCTTTCAGTAATAGTTACATTACACTGTTAAAAAATTCACAGTAGATTCAACAGAGAAAGTCTGGCAGCAAAGTGACAGCACTTTCTCCATAAAAATTAACAGTTTCCGTATTTTCTATTGTCTGTGAAAATCAATAAAAAATGTTAAGTTCTGTATCTGTTAAAAAAGATACAGAACTTTCTCTGTATAATTCACGGTTTCCATATTTAATTTTTTCTGTATAAATTAATGGAGAAAGTCAGGCAGCGAAGAGACAGCACTTTCTCCATAAAATTTACGGTTTCCTTATTTCATTTTTTTTCCATTAATTCAGCAAATAGACAATTACTTAACTCATCTTACAGAGTTTACGCGAAAATCAAAAATAAATGAATAGAATTTATATGTTGTTAAAAGAATGTACTTCAACTATTAGGAGTTTGTGAAATGAATAAAAGTTATAATATACAGGGGTGGGACCGCAAAATGTGAACGTTTTTGTTTTATTATAACTATTTTCTCGTTAGATGTAGTTGTACTCTCTCACTCATCAGAAAGTGTCTAAAGAGTTGGTCTAAACGTTGTAAAATGATCTACGAGAATCAAGGAGGTCAAATTGAACATTTAAAATAGTTCATATTTAACAGAAAATTAATTATTACAATCAGAAAAGTGTTCACATTTTGCGGTCCCACCCCTGTAATACATATCAAACGCAACATGCACAAACTCAGTAGTTTTGAGTAATTTAACCACTTATAAAACATTTAAAGAAAAGCTATTTTAAACATATAGACCATTTGCAGAACGCATTAAGTCACAAAAAGTAAATTTTTAAGTTAATTCCATTTCCGCAATCTACACATTGAAATCTATTACCAATTAAATATTATTTAAAAGTTAAATTAATTCAATTAAAATATATCAATTTCTGTTGATGCTCTATTGATGCACTTCTGTTGATGTAGCTCTGTTTTTACTCATTTTTTTAAATTCAATTTGCTTGTCATTTTCCAGATGAACTCTTTATATGAAATAATTATTATAGTAATAATAGTTATAATAAATGTAAACAAATTATAATATATTGTAATAGTTATATATATTATATTTTATATATTGTATGATATTCATGAAAACAAATAATATTTTATTATGACAAATTATAATAATTATTATATAAATTATATTATAATAGTTTTATAATAATAATAATAGTATTATAATAACTATAAACAAAATGTCTTTTGATATATTGATGCTCTATCCATTCAAACAGCGCTAGTTCATTTACAAAACTCAAAACTTTTGGGTTAGGTCTAACATTTACCAGTTTTTTTTTCGATTTTATTTCCTTTTTCAGGACTCATTTTTGCAATACATCTATATAATAATTAGATCAATAATATGTGGTAGTGGTGTAGTGGTCAGCAGCCTTGTTTGTCAAGGTTCGTGTTTCAGAGTTATAGAGTTGAGAGAGGGTTATAACCACTATTGGTGTGTATATGTAGTGGCCATCCCGGCCTTGAGGAGGTGAATAAAAAAAAAAAAAATTTAAATAACAAAAAAAAAAAAAAAAAAAAAAAGATCAGATTGATAAATCGTTATTTACAGTAAAAAAAAGGAAAAGAAAAAAAAGAAATGTTGAATATATTTAAAAATTCTATGTAGAGCGTACAGTTGCAGATAATCAGGATGCAGTGATTTAGAAGAAAGTGTAGAGTAGAAGAAGATAAAGTTAGAGAATACATTGCAGGTAAAATGAAAAAGCTATGCATTTTTATAGATTTTTTATAAACAAGTATGAAAGTATATCATCACAAAAGACCCTGATCATTGTACTTCTGTGTTTTGGCAAAAGAGGATAATTTTTGTTGAGTAAGTTCATGATTTCAGCTGACAACTTTTCCAGGGAACTTTGAAAACCTCTATCCGATTGTCCAGCATAGGGCTGGAAGATTCAGATGTAGGTACATTTAAAATTCAAGGTTGGGTTGAAGCAAGAACCAAAGCATGAACCTGAGAAAAACTTTCAATAGTAGTATTTCATTTTAAAAGTTACAATCAAAATTAATCAATATAATATAAGTTATACATAAATACAAATAAATAATTAAATAATAATTTAACAATTATTAACATCAAAATTTCTATTTTACAGATAACTTAGTCAAAAACCACAATTTTAAATAATTTAAATATAGATCAGATAACAAGAATAATAATTAAGAGAGCTTTTTAAAAAAGACTGCACTACAAAAAAGTAAATATAAAAATAAATCTAACATACTATTTTATTTAGTATATACCTTCCAAGCATTTATCCTTTATGTGGTTTATGCTCTTCCAGCTAATTGCCATATGGAAGCCAATACCAAGGACCACAAAGACAAGTTCAGCTTAATAAAGATCATCGCAGACCAAGAGCAAGTGATTTTTAGAAGAATGAAGGTTATTAGAGAGCAAGTTGGAAGAAGTCAAGTTCGAAAGTTGGCATAGAGACAGCGGACAGTATGGCACTAGGTGTTAAAATGTGCAATTTTTGTTTAATATCAAGTTCACTTCATAGGAAGACTTGTTACATATAAAGTTTTACATAGTTTACATAAATTTATTTATACATACATACATCTTAATCTAATTTAAAGATAATTTTTTGTGAATGCATTTCTTTAAAAACATATAGCACTTTAGTTCCAATAAAACAAATATAAATATATTAATATCTAACTTGAAATTATATACATGTATAAATTCTTCTTGTGAAAAAGAAAAATAGTACTCTGTAAATTAGAGGCTATACTAAAGTATACTAAAATATACAGTTAATGTCCATAATTTAAAGTTACAGAACTTCTCCTTATCATAAACACGGACAAAATCATATAAAATGATGCGGTTATTTCAAAAGTCTTAAAAGTATAGATAAAAGACTGTAATTTATTCAAAACAGATTTTTTCCATAACATAACAACAGAAAAAATCTTATAAATACTACGGAGTTTTTTTTACAGGGTATAACAGTTCTCTATTACAAATGTCTTATGGTTTTGAAAAGATCTCTGTTACTGATATTTTTATGGGCCCTGGACCCTACCATTAATTAAATTTCTTGGGCCCTACTAATTAAATATTTTCTTTACTCATACCTAATTTGTTTTGCAAAGTTCATTTGGTATGAGTGTTCAGTATGTAATAAAAATTTAAAATTTTCACTTTAGAGGTGTTAAAAAAAAGCTGATTAAAGGAAATTGGGCGAAATTTGCCTGCTCTTGTCCAGCAGATGATGAAAATGCTGCTCTTGCTTTAAATGCATGGTGTACATCTAGAACTATAAATGACTTTACCCCTCCTGCTGGTGTTACACTGCATTGGAAAGTGAAATCAAAACCAAAGTGTTCTGCTGAGGTTTTTATTTTATTTATTTTTTATAGTTTCCTTTTCTAGGGTGTCTAGGGTGTGTATTTTAGTGCAAATTTTATTTTGTTATTTTTTTTTTATTAAACTTATTGTGATCTGTGAAATAAAGAGATAAAATTTTAAATTTTTTATTTATTACTTTGTTAAAATGCAGATTATATATAGGTTTATAATAAATACAGACCAGACTAGATAAAAGTTGTAATAATTCCAGAAACAAAAGCTTTACTACAATGACTCCATCAAAAAATGTTCTTTTCATTACTGTCTATTTCCTATCTGATAAATAGTATGTAGAATGTGGCATAAAATAAAAAGAAATTTTTCAATTCTAAATAACATAAACTCAGTTTTATTATTTTTAAATAACTTCTAAATTTAAATTGACTTCTAAGTCAAGTCTTTATGCGCAAAATAAGGCTAAAAAGATTAAAATAAATTATAATAATTATTAAAAAATAATAATATTAGTATAATAAATTATTATTAATGTTTGATAGTTGTTTATTCTTTTCTTTACAAACTTAGCAAAAAAAATTTTCTTATTGATTTTCAAGAGCATCTGACTTTTCTTTTTTTTTTTTTAATTAAACAGTCCTTAAATTATATTTGAATTGATATATGTTGTCATTGCTTCCCAGTAAACACAAGACTTAAAATACGTATTAATATGTGTTATTACATTTTTTATACGTCTTAAGCACATTTTGTGCTCGCTAGGCTTATAATAGTTTACTGCATATGGATTTCAAATAAAAAAAACTAATAATATTTCTTTAGATGAAACCAGTATTCTGCTTGATCTTAGTTATATGCTCCATTGATCATAGGTGCACACCCTTGATCCTAAATCAGTTTTCTACATAAACATTGTATATTGTACAACTAAAAATGTTTATTCTATATTAGTTATTATATTAGTTTAAGACTCATATAATTATGCTATCTATATAATAATACTGAACTTAAAAGTAGTAGTAGTAGTAGTAGTAGTAGTATTAGTAGTAGTAACAGTGCCCTTTAGAGCCTGTTTGACACAGAACTCTTGGCAGCCATTGCAACTGTGGTAATGACAAGAAAGAGTTGTTTTATAAGAAAACGTGAACGAAAGTGTATGCAAATTTTTGATCTACAGCATTAATTTTCGTTAGAAAAAATTTTTATATAGTTTTAAAATGTCAATTGTCAATGTGCCTGCATGGCCGTGTGGTTAGCACGCTGATCTTCTAAACAAAAAAGTTGTGGATCCAGTCCAACCGCCACCAACCTTCTTTTAAAATTTTTTAGATTTTTAAAATACAAAATACTTGTGAAGTTTTATAAAGATTATATACAAACATATCTAACGATATTATTCACTTTAACAAACAAAAAGATTTTTAAAAAGGCTAAAAATTCTAAAAACATTTAAAAACAGAGGGCTATTTGTTGCATATGTGTCATGATTGAGATACTTATGTTATTTTAGTTTTACATTTCAAGTTTTTTACAACTAAGTTAAGGTTGTGCAAAAAAAAAAAAAAATGAATATACAACATGTTTAAATGTTGAATATAAAAACATAGAACTGTAAAGTTGTTTTGTTTTGCATTTTAAATAACAAAAATTGATAAAGCAAGCTAAAGATTTAACCAAGATTTAACTCTTTCAGGCCCGAGACATGACGATTACCTGCATTTTAAAAATCTTCTCAAGACTTTATATACTATAGACACTAATAGCATAAAATCATAAATTTTTCATTGGCCCTCGTTTTAGTTGCCATGGAAACTATAAGCAGGGTTGGTAAAAAAACCCAACCCAAAAAAACCCAACCCAAAAAAACCCAAAAAAACCCACCTTAAAAAAACCCAATAAAACCCAAAAAAACCCAAAATATATTTGGGTTTTTTTAAAAATGACCTATTTTACAACTGATAACTCTGATTTTAACACTTATAAATGCTTTATTATCACCAAGTGCAACCTTTATACTGTAATTACTCTTGTAAACACTGTATTTATATACATAATGGTCTTTAGGATATACCCAAAATCGATCAATCTGTTTTTGTAGCAAGTTGGTTATTTATTATTTTTTTAAAACATTTAGCAAGTTATTATAAATGTTATTGAAATATGTATTAAAATATTAAATTAGTTAAATACTTATAAAAGAAATAAAAATCATTCTATTAACTAAATTTCAAGACATTACTAGTTATTTAGTATCTTTATTCTCCTCTCGAATGTCTGTATTCTTTTATATTGGTATTTGATTTTTTATTTTTTAAAGCTTATGTTGTAAACTGCAACAAAAAAAAATACAAAGCCACAAGCAAAATACTATATATAAAAATTAAACTTTATTTACAGTTTAGAAATGGAAAGTTGTCAGGCAAAAAAAAATGCTACAGTTTACTAGATTTGTCCTTCAGTGCATACAACTTTAAAACTTAAAAAAAAATTAAGTTATGTGCAAGCAAGCTTGCAACATGTTTGCTCATTCAATGAGAGAACATGTTGAAAACTTGTATGCATTTCACAAGGACAAGATTTGTCGGTAAAAATGACACTCGTGCTCATCTGTCTTTTGAATATTTAACAGGTTTTGAACATTTTGCATCAGCTACAAGTTTACAACATGTACCACCAACAGGGGTGACTATGAACAGCGGGTTGAAAATTAACATCAGTATCAAGTTGCTAAAAGGTGAAGAAACACACACAATAGAGCTATATAATGTGTTACTTTGATTCAGTTTGCAATTTGCATTGCAAAACTGAGCCGGTAAAACTTTTTCAAGGAAAAAAAAAACTTGGTGGCGAAGACACTGTAATGGTTCTTGACAAATTTACTTTATATATATTTAGAAACAAAGTTTAGGCAAAAATCCATTTTTTGCCAGTCCAGTTGATCAGGCCGATAACTTTTCCAAGAAGCTAGACAGTATAATGTTCTGATAAAAAAAAATGTAGTGATTAGGCTAGCAGTTTTCTTCTATGATACAAAAATGTTTAAAAAGTGTTCATAGTCATCCCGATTGATAATAACTTATAAGGTTGCAACATCATGTTGCAAACTTGTTGATTACATGTTGTAAACTTGTGCAAAGTAGTTTTTTGAACATGTTAGTAAAAAAAACTAGTTTGCAACATTTATATTGTCTTACCAACTTTGAATAACTCAATTGTCATAATTTTTACACAGATTTTTTTTTTGTCAAAGATGTTCTGAACATGTTTTTAATTTAGAGCAATTAATTAACATCATTTATAGTTGATGGAGTCCCTTTTTGCACTATAGGTAAAATGTGCTAGTAGACTAGTAGTAAAACATTTGGCTCGCAACCAGAAGGTTGGGGTTCAAATTACTTCTGCTGAAATTACTGTCTCAATCTATTTCTCCACACAGCGCCTTTGTTTAAAAATTTTAGTTGTTAATGTTGTTTGTTAGTAAAAATGGTAATGTTAAGGATTGAGACAAAATATTTTTAAAAAATGAGTTGCTCCCTTGACTGAAATGGTCATTGGAGCAATAGGGAGGTGAATTTATGAAATTAAAAAAAAAAATTATTGTACTCATACAATTATAAAAATTTGTTATTTTGATCGATTTTAAAAAAAACCCAAAAAATCCATAAAACCCAAAAAAACCCAATAAAACCCAAAAAAACCCATTTGGGTTGGGTTTTTTTAAAAAACCCTGGGTTTTTTCCAACCCTGACTATAAGGGGACAGATATGTCCTGACAGACTAAATGGAACTAATATATCTATGTATATATATATAGGTGGATAGTAGAACTGGGTAGCTAAATAAGATTAGGTGAGTGGTGGTATTGGATGTAAGGTGATATTAAATGGATTCCTTTTTGGTGAAAACCATTTTAGCAGCATGTAGAATTCCTTACCCCGGTAAAATAATTATAAAAGAAATATTTCTATATAAATCAAATAACTTTGTATATTACATATGATACTCTCTAAAACAATTTCTTTTAACATTTATGCATAAATAAACTTTGCATGTGCTGCACTTGATGAAAGGTCGTGCTTCAATTTTATTTTTAGAGCATACTTCACATCTTCCACGACTAGAACTATGCTCTGGTCAATGGATGCCAAGATTTTCTTTCCAAAACTTCTTCTTTTGTTAGTAGACAACTGACATGATTGATTTGATGAAATTGGTCCTCCAATTTTTGGTGGTTTAACTATTGTTACTAATGATTGTGCCACTCTTCAAAAAATTGAGAAAACTAATATTATTATCTTTCAATTTCTTGTAGACAACATAGGCATTGCAAACAGTCCTATCAATTAGGCCAAAAGCGGTGCCACCACTTTAGAGATTTCCTGGATGTGCCATATTACAAAAAACAAACATTTCATACAAGACTTCAAAAAGCCTGACAGGGCATATTTGTCCCACAACTAATTACCAAAAAAAATAAAACAAAAATCATAATGCAGATGTAAAGTGTATTTATTTTTATTCTACTAAGATTAAATAATTTATAAAAAAAGTATCAAAGGTATAGCATGATCCTTTAAAGAACTACATATAATGTAGCTTACTAAACCGAAGCAACATATTTTGATTGTCACTGTTTTATGATTTTAAAAAGTTAACTCAAAAAACCGGCGAATAGGACAAAAAGTTGTTTTGAAGTATTGCCAAACTATGTGACAAATGTTTTGATTTATTTTCAAACGAATATAAACAAAAGCTGAACTTCTATATAGTTTTAAATAAACCGGGACATATATGTCCTGTTGGGCCGGAAAGGGTTAAGCTATTTAACCATGCCCCTGTTAAACATTCTAAACTGAGTGCGCAATAACAACAGAATTTAGATAACCATCAAAGTAGTATTATACTCCATTATTTTTTACTTTTATATACTTTTTGGCTGATCCCTAATCTAAACTTTTAAATAAGGGATTGTCTATAAATTATGCAATGCTAAATTTCATTATTCTAAAGGGATTGTCCATAAATTACACAACGATAAATTTCACTAATGAACAAAACAAAAAAGATCAAAATTTTCCCTTGCAGAGCCATATAAAAAATCAAACATTCATCAGCAGACACCAAAATATAGAAAAAGATTTACACTACCTATATACACCTATCTACATACACATCTCAAGTTATTGCCATGTTCAAAATTGTTAGTGCTATCAGTGTCAACTACTTCAACTCAACTACTGGACCTATAGAACACTCCTGTTTAACATAATTTAACTGCTAACTAGATAAAGTATAAAATGTAAATTTTTTAAATGTTCTAAAGTATAAAAAGTAAATTTTTCTGAAATGTAAAAATTTAAAATCATATTTAGTTAAACCATCAAGTTTTGAAAAGAATTTTAAAAATCTTTTAAAAATGTTAAATAAAAAATCAAAGTAGCTTATCAAGTTTAATGAAAACCACCACCTAAAAGAACTGAAGATCTTGATCTTTTTTTAAAATAAATTTAGCGTTGCATAATTTATGGATGATCCCTTAGCGTTTTATAGTCCATAGTTTTTAATGGCCTAAGATCTTCTTAGTACTGCTATTTGTATAGCGTTGCGTACAAATGTCTGTAAAAGTAAATGTCTTTAGCATATGTTGAGTTTGCAGGTAGTATATAGAGCAATAGTATATAATAAATCTATAAAAATGAGAAAATTTTTATTTTAACAATTAGAAATTTGTTTGCTATACAATTATTTTTTTGCTATAAATATTGCTATAAGCACAGCAAGATATTCAAAATTTATTAGGGGAGGTCTTTAATTCTCCAAAACAACACTGATGACAGTGCACTAAACCACTGAGCTATCAATGATATGCGTTTAGGAGAAAAACAAACCTAATTATAAATCTCTTATAAGCTCTATGTATGCTAAAAGTGTGCACATGTTAATTTCTTAAAGCAATTTTTTTTAATGAATTATTTTACATGAAAATATTGAAGTAAACAAATCATAGGTATAGAAATGATCGGTGTGGAATAGATAAGTTTATTCATACAAAACTTTTAAACGTCACCTTTAAGTCAAAACCACTTGTGGAAGTACATTTGATCTTGGTGTCTTAAACCGAATCATTTGCATCATCCAAAATTATGATTGTGTTGGAAATGAGTATACAAGCAGATTTCATGATCAATAGTTCTCATTTTCAAAACCAAAGGAGATTTTTTGATGACATCTGATGACATCATTTTGATGATGTCTGATGACATCATTTTGACTACATATGATGACATCATTTTGATGACATCCGATGACACTATTTTGATGACATCTTATGACATCATTTTGATGACATCTTATTACATCATTTTGATGACATCTGATGACATCATTTTGATGACATCTGATGACATTATTTTGATGACATCTGATGACATCATTTTGATGACATCTTTGAAAATTTATTTATGGTTAATTATGAAACTTTGATAATAATTTCATTATATCAACATTATTTAAAATCCAAATTTAACCAAATACATGTTTTGAGTACTAGATTTCTAATCAATAAACACTAGGAACCAAATCCGTAAACTAATTAAACTTTTGAATTTTCTTTTCTTTAAGAAATCAATTGCATTTTAGTTTTTTTTAATCATCTAAAAAAAATATTAACTTTAAATATCAAAAAGTACAAATTTTGTCAAAAATGCGCAAATACGGTAATTGGAACCCAGTCCTCAAAGTTATTTAAGTTATAAAAAAATATTTTTTTCTGTAACTAGCAAAAAATATCTTTCCAACAAGTCATCAATGAGTTTTCTTTGATTTTCTCAATCAATAGTTATGATTCAATTGCCTTAACTTTGTCTTTGTTCTATGTATGTGAATTGTTAAAGGTTAAAAATCCCTCCACAAAATAATATAATTAAGTTTTTAGAGCTAATTGATTTTAAGGTTCGTTATTTTTATTGCTAACATCTTTGTTGATTGTCATAATCGTTACTCTAGATGTACAACATGACAGAATTCGCTATGGGGTTAAATGAACTTTTGCCTGAACACGAAAACGTCGTAAGTTTTTAAAATAATGTTTTAAATTTTTATTTTTTTTTTTATAAAAAACTTTTAATTTTGCCAGTAGAGATTTTATTAATAACAATTTTTTCTTAATAGCTATTTTTACTATTTCTACTTTGAATATACTGTGAAACTTTAACCATAGATAGCACCAACCGACTCCAGATATCGCTTGGATATGCGATGTCTAGAAAATGGAGATATAGGTAATTATTTATACTAAAAATCTATAAAGATCCGTTTTTCTGCTTTTTAAATAATATTAGTTAGTTTTATGAAATTTCTTTTTCAGAGGGTGCGGCAGCCGAAAAACAAAAGCTTGAAGAAGCTCAACGCGAAAGAAGAAAACTCATGCACAGTTCAGGAGAAATATGGATACCAATGTATGATTTGTGTTTATCATCATCTTGTTTGCATGTCACAAGTAATGAATAGTTGTATGATTCTTTTTTTTTTTTCAGGTGGTTTTCTCTAGAAGAGAACGAATATCTTAAATGCAAGGAGTGGTCATACAATCATAAATATTTTAAAAGAAATTATAGAGATTGCGTTCAAATTTATTAAATTTCTATGATGCATACAATACTTTCGCGTCAAACGTATGTTGTGTACAATTCAACAATGACTTGTAGAAGATTGCTTTTAAAATGCCAACTTAAAATTTAGGAAAAAAGAATTATTTTTTTATTATTTATGAACAGGTTTTGTGTACAATTTTCTATTTTATACTAATTTTTAAACTTGCAATCAATTATATATGATAGCGTTATATGCAGATAGAGCTATATCAATTTCTATCCTCGTTTTTTTTTTTTTTTTTTTGTAATGAGGTAATGATAAACCAATTAGAATTTTAATTTTTAATGATATTAATAACCCGCTTTATATGATCGCTTTATCGCGACGTTAGAATTACCATGTTCTATCTCCACATTTTTTAGTTTTGAGATAAAACGATTTAAAAAACAAAAACCTTAGGACACGGCGTTTAAACTTATGTTTTTTCCGCAACTTTTTCACTAATAACTTAGGTTTCAATTCAGTAGAAAGACATTATTTTGAGGAATACAACACTATCATTAACTCAATTTTTTCAGAAAGTGGAGATAGAACAAGATAATTCTAACGTCGCGTTATGACTATTCTGTTTATAATGCTTTAATCCAAGTATCCTGATACAGGATCCAAACACTCTTAATATTAGCTTAAATTTGGATCGGGATCTAAAAGATACAGATTTACCAATAAATAATTAAGAATTAAAATATAAATTATCTAAATAAATACGGATTCAAAATTGCAAAATAACACAAAATGTTTGGATCTGGATCCATTTCTTGAAGATTTGAAATTTACTAAATTTACTAGTCAAACCTTAAAATTTACCCTAATCAAAATGTCCTAAAAATTTCCAATAAAAATTATATGTATAGGCCATTCCTATATGTAATTGAAACGGCATTTCGTATGAGATAACCCTATTAAACACATCCTAAAAGAATAAATAGATTTAAAGAAATATAAGAATTCTTAGATTTAACAATTAAACAAAATGCTGTTGTAAAATCTTGCAACATGATTACAATACACAGCTGTAAGCTTCATTAAATAGAGCTTACAGCTGTGTCTCTTGTGCAAAGTTTTTCTTATACCTTGTATTGTCTTAATTGTGTATCTTAACATCGTTTCTTCATTTAAGCCTAATTAAAGAGCTCAAACTAGGGATTCCAAGTGGGTAAAATAAGCTTTATTTTAAATGTGTCGTGTGGCAATGTTTAGAATTTCCTTATCTTGTCTTTTCAGCAATCACAACATTGTCACTTGGTAGCACAGACATCAACAATACTGTGCTTAACTTTTATTTTATATTACATGTGAAAGTATACTTGTGCTACCCGTTTAATGATTGAATGAAGCTTTTAAAAACGTCCCCAGTAAACGTGGGTTCATTCATATAGAAAAAAATGAAAGCTTCTGTGGCGATCGATCTGTTATGGTAAGCCTGTTGCGTTAGTTCGCTTACGCAGCAGCCAGTATGCTTCTTTACTTTGTATATTTAACTGAACGCGTAGCAAGTCTCGCTCTCTTACGCTTCCTTCTACACCACGAGCTGAGCACTTGGCGCGATCCAAGTTTGTAATTGTAAATAACGAGGCGTATCTTCAAGAAATATATATTAAAGTAATCTTATCTATGTGAATTAATGCTAGAGTCCCTTCCAAACTCTTTAAAGCCATCTGCTATGGCAAATATCTTTACACTTGGCTTTAAAAAGAATTATGTCAGCTTAGTCTGTAGATAAACGTTATACCAACTTGCAACAAAGCATTGCACCTGTCAACATTGTTTTGAGAATTTTTCAGGATGTTTAATTAAAGATTCTAGCTGCTATAAAGGTTGTTTTTTTTAATTATTATTTCGGTGCTCCAAGAAGACCTAACGGTCTTGTCACAGAGTACCGCAGTTTGTTACCGCTTATGTTACCGTAGTGCATTTAACCAGGAAGTTCACGCCTCCTTCCTTACCGTGACTCAAAATATGTCCAAAACTCGTTTCGAACCTGGATCTCCTGCTTATAAAGCAAGCGCTCTAACCACTGCGCCACGGCCAAATATTTTCATTTTTTTATGTCCACGGTTCTAATGTTTCCATTTTGTTATGTCTAACTTTAGATAGAGCCTTTCCAATAGGGCCAGTAAAACAATTCTTTGAGTTAGTTGAAGCAGTTTAACAGTATATGCCTCAATGGTAATTTATTACAATGTCAGACCAGAATAATTGCTCCTGGTTAACTGTTCCAGATTTGATAGAAAACCTCCATCTTTTTCTGAACCTGTTATGGTGTTTGTACAATCCCCCTCCGATTTCTAAGAATTTATCGAATGCCCTTAAACCATCTAATTATAAATAATTATTATAGTAATATTGTCTGAACTTTAAATGACGTCATTCAAACAATAAAGGTGTGATTGTTTTAAATTTGTTCGTCTTATTATATTATAACACTAGTTTTAATCTTTTAACGCACTTTTTCCCACTAATATATTTATTTTTCAAAAAAAAATTTATTCACGCTTCATATCATACAATAAAGTATAAAATAAATTTAAATGGTTTCAGATTTCGATAACTTAAAAATTTTAATCCCCTAAACCTGCATTTACGCATAAATTATCAATTTTACCTTTCCGAAAACTGCAATCCCGTATGAATAAAAAAAATTTTTTTCAATTTTTTTCCCCCTAAGTCATTATTTACATATAGTGGCACCATAAAAATTATCAGGCAAATAAAAAATCAAAAGTTTTGAAAGTATAATATACCCTATTATTCACTGCACTATTCTAACTTTCAATCTGCATTGAAATTAAAACATTGGTTTAGTGTTGTTTTGAAGAATCGGGAAGAAACATCAATATTATTCCTCTTATTAAGCTATGGGAAATATTAAAAGAAAAAACAATTTGTTTATTTAGAGTATTTTGTATTTTAACTCAAAATAACTACTATGAAAAATGCGCTATTTGACTAACCGAATGATTTCGAAAACTAGGGTTCTTTCTCAGAAGATATCTCTGTTTGCTCTAAGGATTCCTCATCTGAGTCAGCAATATCAGTAAGGTTTAAAGGTTCAGCTGAAAGTAGAACCTCCAAGGTTTCTTTTAAAAATGGTTTAATGTCTTTTTTTGATAGTTTTCTTATGCAAGTTAAAACAGAATCAGAGCTAAGTAGTAATCTATCAGGCATGTCAAGGTTGAAAGATTCTCTGAATAACTTACTTGGATTGTTTTGGTGGTTCAGACAAAAATAATTATTTCACGTTTCAGCTGCTTTTTTGGTTGGTTGACCCATAGGATGCAAAGCATGCTCTATTGCAATAAAATCATGAATGAGAATTTTATGCAATGTAGGAGTTATTGAATACCATGGATATAAATCGCAGTTTTTACAGTATAATCCCTAAATTTTTTGACATCAACTTTGTTTTTGCTTGATATTGTTTCCAATATTACTTTATGGCGATATATTAGCTTATAGTTAATACATAGTATTTCAGTTGCCAACTTTGGGACAGCAAAAAATCGTCGGCTAATATTGTCGACAATTTTTTATACATATTAATTAGCGTTGCCATCATTTAAGTTACAAGATTCAGGCTTAATTACGTCTACAATTATAACGTTTTTTTTAAAACCCGGTTGTATTTTTAGCTTTCTTTGCTTAACAATTCCCTTTTCGCTTTTTGATTTTACTTGCCATTTTTAATAGGAAATTTATAGGATAGATGCAATAAGTTTTCAAATATTCGGATTCTGGCATGCAAAGTTGATAACCTAAACTTTAATGTATCTGGCTTGACTTCTTTTTTTATTGTCAAAGTATTAAAGTTTTTTGATGTTGCACCGCAAATGTAGCATCTCACAGTTGAAGTTGTTTGATTGGCTGCAATACACACCTTAGCATCAACCATAGTGAGCATCATGTTATGTTTAACTGAAAAGATATTCCCACCAACTGTCAATATTAAATCATGCAATGAGATAATTATATTTTAATTAAAGTTAATCTCTTCATTTTTTATATCATTAGATTTTTTGACAAATTTAATTCTTATAGGGCGACAACAACGTGCGAAGAAAAAGTTGGATTTTGCCAGATCAATTTTTTGTCTTCCATACAAGTTAATTGAAGCGCTACAAAAGAACTCTGAAATATAAATTTGCATTAAATCAGCATTATTCAGAAATTTCTGTTCATTGGTTTTGATGTGATCCGTTGCAACCCCATTTACAACTTTATACTATTAAATTTCTTTCTTTTTTGTTTAAATTTTGTACTACTTCTTCTAAATACATTAACAATCGTGTAACCAATTAACCAATTGGTTTAAAAAAAACGTGTAAATTGACTGCAATACAAGTTTCAGTGATGCAATAAGATTCTTTATTCGGATAACAATCAATTTTTTCCTTTTTCAGACTACTGATACAAGGATATTGTATTTTACAAGAATTTCTAACTGAATTTCTGTCTTATGGAAAGATTAGCTTCAACAAACACGGCCAGTGCACTTAATACTGACAGATGTGCTTTGTTTTCCTGTAAAACGTTAGAATATGTTATAACTTTTGCCGGCTTTGCAGAGTCAATAACTTCCTTTTGCATTTTTGAAGAAGTTCTTTTTTTTTTAATACCTAATTCCACCTGGGCAGCACAAAACAATGTTTCTGAATTTGTGATACAACGTATGTCTTCTGTTTTTCGTCATTTGCTTTTCTCGCTTAAATATTAAAGCTCTTTGCTGGCTTATCCCTTTGATGCAGTACTGCAGGTATTGAAATAATTCCTCCAAGATTCTGACTTCAATAATGCGATTTTTACGCATTATTGAAGTCAGAATCTTAGCCTATGTGTTACTTTAAAAAAAATACCTGGAAATGTTGAAAATGAAAATTGCAAAAAATAAGTGAAAAAAAAAAGAATTTTTACAAAACTCATTGTCTTAGGGATTATCCATTAATTATGTCAACAATTTTTTTTGCAACTTTTACCTCCCTTCTCTCCCTTGTCAACAACTTGTCAAACTTCTTAAGACACCTCTATAAAATGGCGTCTACATTTAATTACCCCCACTCCCAATAATTTTTAATAATAATTTCCCCTGGACAAGGAAGGGGGGTAGCCATTAGGCACTGCCTTCCCCACCCCCACTTTTTTTCTTAACGACCTTATTTTTTTTAAGAAACTTCTAGATGTACAGAATTTTTTTAGATATAGAAATTGACGACTGCGCCTCTCCACTTTAAAACTCGTGTGGTCCCCGAATTAAACTATATTATGATTTTATATATATATATATATATATATATATATATATATATATATATATATATATATATATATATATATTTTTTTTCATTTATTCATTTCAGTGGTCAAATACAAATACAAGAATCCATTTATAATTTGATGAAGAGGTGCTACACCAGGCCCCTCTATGCTGACGAACATGGAGATACAGACGCTACAGACAAAGCAGCAGTCGTATCTATAAAGTTACTTTCTTATGTTATTTTTGAAAGCGTTGATGGATTGAGCGTTCACTGCTTCTTGCGAAAGTGCATTCCATGGGGCGACAACTCTGTTTGAAAAAAAGTTATATCGCTCCTCACAGTTTTTTACCATCTGACGTTTAAGTTTATGGTTGTAGCCTCTTAAAATATACTTATCTTTACTTTTTGAAAATTTTTGCGGGTCGACAAAACTGACAAGCTCAAGTTTACAAATGATTTTGAATTGCTCGATAAGATCTGCTCTTTTGCGGCGTTCTTCAAGAGTTGTTAAACCAAGCCGTTGAAGTCGATTTTCATAGGACAAGTGTTTAATAGTCGATATTGTTTTTGTTGCTCGTTGTTGGACCTGCTAATGTCTGATTTTAAATGCGGTGACCAGGCTTGTACAGCAAACTCAAGATGGGGGTGAGATACAGAGTACGCCATAAATAAAAACTGCAACTGCGAAATGTTTTTTTAAGTTGCCCTAGCATTCTATTTGCTACTGATGCGGCTGACTCTATTTGTGGTCTGACTTTAAGATTATTCGAGACCATCACACCAAGGTCTCTTTCGACTGTGGTTTTTTCGAGAGGACGACGGGTGCCGTCGACGTTAGACATTGAGTATTTGTACGTCGACTTGTTACATCCGCGCCCAACATGCATTACTTTGCATTTCTCAACGTTGAAATGCAAGAGCCAAATGTGTGACCATTCCACTGCTCTGTCAACGTCATCTTGGAGAGTGATGCTGTCCGACTCCTTTTTTCCTTTTTATCCCTATTATTTTGCTGTCGTCGGCAAACAGTTTCATATGATGAGTAATTCTGTCTGGCAGATCGTTTACAAAGATTACGAATAGCAATGGGCCCAAGACCGAGCCTTAAGGCACTCCACTAGTGACTGCTTTCCATTCAGAAGTAATGCTGTTTATAACCACTCGTTGACATCGATTGTTTAGCCAAGCTGCAATCCAATCAACGAGAGTGCCTTGAATACCGTACGCTTTCAGCTTATGAAGGAGGCGTTTATGTGGTACTTTGTCAAACGCCTTTGCAAAGTCTGTGTAAATGACGTCTACTGCGTGTCTACAGTGAGTTGCTTCCGTCATGATGTCCCGAGTTTCTAAAAGGTTTGGTACGCATCCTTTACGATGAACAAAGTCATGCTGGTTAGGAGAAATTAGTCCATTAGCAACGCAGTGTTCCATTATTCTTTTTTGTAAAATACTTTCCATAATTTTGCAAGGTATGGAAGTGAGCGAGACTGGCCGGTAGTTGGATGCTTTTAGCCTACTCCCCTTCTTGAAAATAGGTATTACATCAATTTTAAAAATACAAAACTACACCAGTTTCAAACGAGCGTTTATAGATAAGCGAAAGAGGCTTGGCAAAGGTAGCTGAACATTTACTGAGGATCCGTGGATGTAAGCCATCGTAGCCGGTTGATTTTCTTTCATCAAGGCTGTTTAGGGATTTTTGTACAATATCTATAGAGAAAATTGATGTATCGATGACACAAACTGCTTCTGTACGACTTTTAAAGCCTGGCATTGAACCTTTCGGCTCTAAAACAAAGACTGATTGAAAATAGTCATTTAACGATGCGCATATATCACCGGTATCGGTTGTGATGTTGCTATTGACTGTTTCAAGCGATGTTATGTTGTTACTGACGCTCTGCTTGCTTCTTATATATGCATGTAAGCGTTTAGGTTTGCTTTCGAAATCCCTGAGGAGTAGCTCTTGGTACTTCTGCCTACCAGCTTTGACCATTTTTTTTAACTTTTTTGCAGGCAGTACGATGCGATATTTTAAGATATTTGTGCGCATCTCGACCTGCATTAATGTACTTGGCCCAAGAGGTGCGTTTAGCTTTGACCGCCTCAATAAGTTATGGTGTTACCCATTGCTCCTGGTTTCCTGTAAAGGGAGTGGTAGTTGACGGAATGTGTTAGTGGCTTCATTGTACACGTTTACTAAAAGTTGATAATCTTCGTTTGCATTTAGTCCAGTGAACACTGTTTCCCAGTCAACAGCTGCAATATGTGCTGATATTGCTGCGTAGTTTGTTCGACTCCAAATGAGTCAAGGTTTTAGCGGCAATGTTGGCGAATTGTTGAGGCATGCAACAGTAAATTGGCCTTCGATGAAGCAGTGTGCTTGGCCCATTGGAGTGTCACCAAGAGAATCGCCTTGTTTAATGAAGATTACACGGTCTGGCTCTTTTGTTATAATAAGGTCGAGTGTACTAGTAGGCTCGACGTGTCGACTACTACGATAGGTTGGGTGATAAGATAAGCTGAGTTAAGTGACATTCATCTGACACTTCTGGAACCTGATGTCGCCTTGGCGCTAACCTCTCACGTGAGCAACAGTTGCAATGCCACTGTTAACTTTGATAGGCTCATAAGATGTATGGCTAAAATTGAAATCGCCATATATATATATATATATATATATATATATATATATATATATATATATATATATATATATATATATATATATATATATATATATATATATATATATATATAAATATATATACATATATATATATATATATATATATATATATATATATATATATATATATATATATATATATATATATATATATATATATATATATATATATATATATATAATCAGAATGAATATAGTTTAATTCGGGGACCACACGGGTTTTAAAGTGGTTAAGTGAAAGACTGATTTCACTTTTTGATGCTAAACATAACCGTGATGATTGGTGTCCGTTTATTGATTCCAGTAAACGTTGTCTAAAGGCCGTGCTATTTTTAATTGCACACTAGTACACTTGAAGGAATCTTACGAAAACATGGCTATACTGCTGAATGCAATTAAGTATGATCAGTACAAATGGAAAATATGTGGCAATCTTAAAATAAATGATTTACTGTTAGACATGCAGAGTAGTTTTACGAAATACATGTGGTTTTTATGTTTGTGGGACAGCCTGGCAACATAGGAATTCTACGTGAAAAAGAACTAGCCCTCGCTTGAAAAATTTACTCCAGGACAGCACAGTGTTAAATCTAACCCGCTGATTGATCAAGAAAGCATTCTTCTGCCACCACTTAATATAAAACTTGGATTTATAAAAACATTGTCAAAGGCATGGATCCAGAGACCAATGGGTTTAAATATGTGCGTCAAAGTTTTCTAACTTTAAGTGATGCCAGAGTAAAGGAGATTTATAAAAGAATTTATAAAAGATTTATAAAAGAATATTTGTTGGCCCACAAGTTCGAGTTCTTCAAATGACGCAATAAACTAAATGCTAAAGAACACAGAGCATGGAATGTTTTTAAAGATATCCGGAAAAATTTTCTAGGATCACACGAAGCTTCCGACTTTAAAGATAAAGTTGGAGAACTGCTGAGTGCATATCAAGATTTGTTAACAACTCTTTAAATTTTAAACCGTTAATCGAATTTAGTGTAGTTAGTAAAGATCGCGAATCATTAACGATTGAAGTTATAAATAAAATCACTAAAACATCATTGAACATGTTGTGTACAGACCGCCATCTGGAAAGAACAAATTTTTTAAAAAACACTTTAAAAGTTTAATTAAAAATAAAATTTTATGTGGCAAATGTGTCTTTTTTGTGGGGAGATTTTAATTATATTACAATTAAAATCCCCCACATTATAATTTATAATGTGCTCGATTACAACACAAATAAGAATTTTATGAACATCTTATTTCAAAATGATTTCATTCCAACAATAAATAAACCAACACGAATTACTAGGAATAGTGAAGCCTCAATTGATTAAATAATAATTATTGAAAATACAAAAAGCAAAATAAAAACTGGAATAATATTATCTGATAACGCGTGACAACTAAAAAACGAGACTGGATTTAAAGACACATATCTCTTTAAAGAAATAAGATAAAACAAAAAGGAAAAATGTTATAGAAAGTATTTTTATTATAGTTTTTAAATATATAATCAGTTGTTCTCAATTAAACCATTTCTTCTGACTTTATCAACTAGGCCTGGTATAGACTGAGCTAGTCTCCGTATGAGCTCAATATCAATTTTATTAAGGCAATACTTGATTCTAGAACGTAATTTTTTAAGATTTTCTGCATGTCAGTTGTTCTTGTAGAAAAGGCTTTTCAAAATACTCCAAAAATTTTCGATAGGGCGACATTCTGGCAAGTTTGTAGGGTTATCCGCTTTTTCAACATAATGCACGTTTTCCTTGTTTAGGTACATACTTACTGTTTTTGCATAGTAAGATGATGCTAAATCTGGCCAGAATACATATGCACCATCTGAATGATACCTATTGATGAATGGAATAAGTCTCTTCTTAATACATTTGTTTAAATAGATTTTTTAATTTACAGCCAGTCCACTTGGCACAAAACAAGGTTGAGAAATTCTATTTTCAGAAAAAGCAATCCATAAAATTAATTTCTTTTGAAACTTTTGTTTTGTTCGGTATATAACTGTAGATAGAGTAGATTTTACATCATTAGTATAAAATATATCATTTCCATTGATACTGGAGTGATTTAACATGAAATAAGACTCATTGTCAATGATTGGTTTACGATTTTTGAATTTCTGACACAATCGACTGCACTTAGTTCTAGCTACTGCATTTTGCTGGTCAGAGCGTTTTAGAATCGTCCTTTTTTTTCTTGATTTAATATTTGTTCTTTTTTTTTGATGTTTTACTAATGTGTTGCTGAGTACAGTTGAACTTTTTAGCTGTCTGTCGTTGAGAAACTCAGTCTTTACGGTCAAACATGAGTTTGAGCCTTTCAATGTTTGTCCTGGTCATTTTTTTAGCTTTTACTCCACTTCCTTGAATTCTTTGGTACCCAGATTCACTTTCAGCACGTTTAGTTATCTTGTAGATAGTACTTTTAGGTATATTCTCAACTTTAAAGTGGTCATAAGTGAACTTTTTACCAGCATTTTTGTAATTCAAATAAAATTCATACACACGTTTTCTACCCTCTTCTTGTTTCGAATTTATTTTTTCATTCATTTTTCTATAAAAAATAAAATCACATAAAATATTTAAAAACTAGAATAAAAATACCTTCTAAAACAGTTTTCCAATTTTCAAAATCTTATTCCTTAAACGAGATATGTGTCTTTAAATCCAGTTTCATTTTTTAGTTGTCACCCGTTATATCGAATTATTTTCCAATATTTATAATTGCACATAATTTGCGACGAAATTTGGCAAATACAAAACACAAACACTGCTTATAACAGTTTTCTTCGGATATTCAAAAAACACTATGATAAAGCTCTCCCGGTGGTAACAAAAATTATTAAAACTAAAACATTTATAAACCCTTGGATTACACCAGAAATAATAAAATCATCAAAAAAAAACAAAAAAAAAAAAAAAACGATTGTATGAAGTGTTGCTGAAAAAAAGAACCTTTAAATATTTTATACCTTTTTTATGAAAAGGTATAAAATATTTAAAGGTTACTTTGAATCAATTATCAAACTTTCAAAGAAGTTATACTATTCAAATAAAATAATAAAATTTAAAGGCGATACTCAAAAAACGTAGCTTTTAACCATTTTATTCGTGGTATTTTATTTTATTTTATTCGTGGTATTTTATTCATTTTATTCGTGGTATTTAGTGATTAAAGAAGCAATAGGAAAAAAACTAAATTATCATCATCAAAATAAACAGGCTAAAAAAATTTTTTTTTTCAAAATTTCAGCTTTTACAATTTTCATTAATTTATTATATCTATTCTTATATTATTAAAAAAAAAAAAAATCAAAAGGCCTAAATTATCCTTAATAGATTTGGTACTAAAAAATAAAGTGCTCTAGCAACGGCCCATGGAGATGTATTTCTTGCAATATCTTGAGAAATACATGTCCAATTTATGTAGTTTTTTTGTGAGCTTATGACTTAATTGTTTTTTAAGAACTCTTATTGGTTTTCGATCTAATATCCATAAACTGAAACCTCATATTGGTTTCTGTTAGATATATTTAATTACTCTTTAACAAAATTTTCTTTCATAAATGGGTCGTTTTTGATAAGTTTCCTGATAAATAAGTTCAAAAAAATAAATATGCTAAAGCAAGAGTAAAGAAAAGAAAATTTCATAAATAAGAAAAAGATTCTCTAAATAATTCACATGCTTTACAACAAACTGTTTTGTCTGCACATTCATCAAA